GGAAGCAGAGGATATTCCTTCCTTGCCATGATAATTAATTGTGTTTTTGTTTCATCATGCTTTGTTTATCCTATCACCAATTTTTACTTTTAGTTCTACTTGTTTTATTATTTTTTGTATATGACGATTTGATTTAAGAGGTGCTTCAGTATTTAAGTTTCTTGGGCAGCTTAGAGGTAATTTTAAAACTTCAAACTGGGATAGTTATAATAAACGATTTTCAAGAGTTTTTGACTTTGGAATGATTTTATACCTTAACCTAGTCATCTTACCCAAACGAATAAACATTCATTGTTCCAACCAGTTCCCCAAACATGTTAAAGTATAACATACTAATGCACTTGGCAGTTTACCCCTTAATACTTAATAGTATCTTGAAATATCCTTACGTAGAACTTTTAGATACATAAAAATGTTCAAAAATATTTTTATGTCTCAATACATTACACTCTAGCATTCTGTCGGTTAACTCATTTTAATATGGTATCTTAAAGAGTGTCTTACACCTTCTCTTTAAGAATTAATTGAACTCTTATCTAGAATCTTTAGGTTAAGAGACCATTAACAGAGTTATTAATCTTATTAAATTACCTTAATCAACATTAGGTGTCCTAATTTACACGATAATTTAATTAGGTGGGACTCTTTTACTTTAATTAAGCTTTAGGATTACCTATCATGTATGTTATCTTACTTTAACCAGTTTTACAAAAATTGGCCAAGCCACTGACCGGTAATGCAACAACGTCGGCAAGTACTAAAAACACCACTGACTTCGAAGATGCATGCCTGAGACTTATGGACCACCTCGGAACAAACCCATCAGACCTCCCTAGCCGGCCTGAGTTCAACCACCTAGGACGCGTCCTCTGGAGTACGACGGTCGGCACAACTCAATCGGAGACTGGATCGGTTCGCCACACTAGTAGGCTAAACTGCATTTCACGGTATAACTGCATATTGCAGCCAATAGCGCTCACCCGAACTACATCAGACACATCACAACCTGAACGCCATCCTATCTCTCCCAAACTAACACCTCCTCGAAGCATTGTGAACGAAGCCTGATAGTGCTGAATGGGTAAACGGCCTAGGTCGGACGGATGCGCCATCTACCAAAAGATTCCCCTTGCCTCCAGACGATCAGGCACCACTGACAATCTCATCCACCCGCACAGAAATGCTAAACGATGGCACTACGCTAAGGTCAGAATTCCCTGACCACTCCCCCTACTCGTCACCCAGTACTCAAACTCCGCCTCTGGGGAACAATCTGGCTGGCCGCTTTGAAAAAGAGATTCTCTTACCTCTCTCCAATCTCCATCTAACGCGCCATCGCGATCCTGACATATCTGCGCATGAGGGTTTCCTACCATATGAGCAAGCTCCCCCTATAAAATAAGACCTTCCCGCCACACACTCACTCTCTCCTCTCCTGTAGGAAGCAGACGCCTTAATCTAATTAGACTGACTCAGCGGCCAGCGCCATACCCACCAAATACGATAGTACCTCGTACTGACACGTGTACAGCGCTCAACAGCTAGGTAACACTGTTGCAGCCACTACCCAACGATCACGAGCAACATGACCCCTCCCCGAAATAGATTCTCTTCTCTACCTGGCCTACAAGTTGAATTCGAGGATCAAAGGCCAACACATCTCACCTCAAGGAATATTACAGCTAACCCCGATGCAACAATACTTCCAAGCACGGCTATTACATCAATCGTCAATGCAACAACGCACATATGCATACTGTAAGTATCATAGCCAGCAGCACCTCCCCCACATTCATATGTGCTCCTGACGATCCTACAACATCGTAATCACCGACTCTACACCAAACCGATGTTCATTGGCGCGACACGACACGACAACTTGCACAGCGATATCCTACTCAGTTCTCCAAACCTCGACACCAATTCCTGAGTCTTCTCCCTATATTCATCATGAAATCCCACTACGCTCCAAGTAGTTACCTGTGCAACACAACACCATAGAATCTCACTATCAATCTGAGTCTAGATTAGTCTTGGGGCATATATCTCTTACTGACAGAACTTCCGCCATTGACTCCCGCCATAGGTTATCACTTGAGAAAAAGAATTTGGTCAATACCTATCCAATCCTCCACCATAGACATACGCATTCGCTACCAGAACGACACATCACGGCTGATCATCGCCATTTTCGATACCGCAGCTCCTGTGTAAACATCTGTAAACATCACATCCATCCGACATCATGACTGCGGACGTCGCCAAAGCACCCGGCTGAAAATACCCCAACGGGCTGAGCTGCTGGGAGTCCGAAACTGATCATTGAGCCATCTGCCCTCCGATACGGATCTAATGCTTCATTCAAAACAGTAATCGGAGCTCATTTGTTCAATATGATATCATTTATGCTTGAAGAAACGACGTCGAAGCATAAGAAAAACGAGCACAACGCAGCCCAAACCTATCTGAAACTCACCCGAGCTCCTCGGGACCGCATATGAACATACTAACACGTCACATATGATCATTCAAACTTAGTTGCACTCTCAAAACACCAAAACTAACATCAAAATACCAAATTTACATCAGATTCAAGCCTAAGTTCTTCTAATACTTCCGAAACACGCATTTGATCAAAAACCCAACCAAATCACCTCCGAATAACCTGAAATTTTGCATACACATCCCAAATCACCTAACGAAGCTACAGAAACTCTCGGAATTCCATTCCGACCATCGGATCAAAATCTCACCTATCAACCGGAATTCGCCAAACATCAAGCCTCCAAAGACTAATGGAGGCATCATCACCAAAGTCTCCAAAGACAACTGGAGATATCATTCGGCTACACGGCCTCATCTTTATAAGTCAAACGGCTTCATTCCTACTTTATCATTAACTCTACCCTCTACTTTATCATAACTTTATGACTTTATAATTTTATCCTGAACTTTACAGGCAACTTTGCCCAAACTTTACACGCATAATTTATCATCAAGTCTCCAAAGACAACCAGGGGCATCATCATCAGCATCAAGTCCACCGACCACAATTGGAGGAATCACTCAGGCTTGTCGGCCTTCAATAGGACATTTAGGCTCGTCCGCCTTCAATTGGACATTTAGGCTTATCCGCCTTCAATAGGATATTTGGGTTCGTCCGCCCTCAAATAGGACATACTGGGTTCGTTCGCCCTCAAATAGAACATATTGGGTCGTCTACCCTCTAATTGACATATCAAGTTCATCCACCTTCTAATAGGATATATCAGGGTCGTCTATCCTTAAATAGGACAATATCAGGTTCATCCACCTTCAAATAGGATATACCGGGCTAGTCCACCCTTAAATAGGACATATTGGGCCATCTACCCTCTAATGAGACACATAGGGAAACTTTACCCAAGACTTTACAAGCATACTCAAGCCGCCGAAGACAATCGGAGACATCATTCAGCCACACGGCTCCACCATCATAAGCCACGCGCTTCATTCCTACTTTAACACTGACTTTATCCTCTACTTACCATGACTTTACTATGATTTTATGAATTTACAAATGACTTTACTCAAGAACTTTACAGGAAACTTTATTCAAGATTTTACAAACATCAATATCTAGTCCACCATTCAAGATCTGCGATACAATCATAAGCCAAATGGCTTTACTTTTTACTTTATTATTAACTTTACCCTCTACATTATCGCGGCTTTATGACTTTAGGACTTTACTAATGATTTTACCTTAAATTTTATAAGAAAATTTTTATCCAAAGTTTATAAGCAAAAGTGTCACTAAGACCTTCAGGACTTTTGCACAAGCTTTTAAAAGACACAGTTCGTGGAGCGATGCCATTTCAGATCGCCACAGCTTCACTTTTATTCATATAGCCTAGCGATTTTACTCTTATTACTTTATCGTAAGTTATTTGCTAACTACATTACTTTAGACTTGACAGGAAATACAATCCAAAATATATATTACAATGGTAGGAGATACACAACACAACGTGGGACTACCTCTTAGCAGTGAATTGGGGCAAATTTGCTGAGGAGGAATGTCAAACTCAAAGAAAGGTCAAGGATCTACTCTCTAAATCTAATCCGCATACATCCTACAACACGCGATATGCAGGCAATCCAAACAATTATAAAATTTTCATCGTATCCATCGCTATATTTTCCAATCAATTGCTTTTATAATCTCACAACTCTTCAATAACCTAGTATCATCATAACTCGACATTGGGGCAGATTTTAAAAATCAGTAAGTTCATTCAATCCTAGGGTTTCACAAAACCATATCTAGTAGAGCTCTACTCATAGTTGTGTTATCCACCACATTTATAGTTAGGAGATTACAAGAACCTTTCCGCTCTCTTACATCCTAGTGACCTATTTTCAACCCTTAAAGAATCATTTCCAACATAATACTCGAACTACATATGGCCTGATTCTCGTGAAACCCGAGATATGTAGGCAACTCGAAACATGGGTGCGGCCATATTTTTTCCAAAATATCAATTCCCTCATAACCTCCTTCTAGACGTAGTCTTCCCATTATCCATGTCGTACTTGATGGTCAGAAAAAAAAATTGGCTACTATGTCAATTTCTTTTGCCGAATATTGTTACATCGTCTCCGGTCAAAGAGGGGCAACTGTTGACATCCAATTTTATCCCTCGTTTCCTCTAATTAATTTTTCTTGAGCTTCTAAGTTACTAATAAACTGCATACCCTATTTTTACTACTATTTCTTTTACATCTAATACTATTATTATTCCAATTAATATTGGTATTAATATTATTATTCCATCTACTACTACTACTATTATTATTCCATCTATTAAGTATTTGAACCAACTTAGAAGCTTAAAAGAAGTACAAGAAGAAAGGAATCTAAATCAAAGTCCAAAAGCCCAACAATTTCGGCCACTTTGAAATAGTCATTTTTTGAATTTCAATAGCCTAAAATCTTGTATTTTCAGCCACAGCAATCAGCACACTAGATAAAGCCCAATTATTATTAGCCCAAAGCCTACTCCACAAAGACTATAGTCCAATCTTAATACATTCCCAACGGCTGCCTCTTACCCCATCTTCTCCTCCTCCTTTTTAGCAAAATTTGTCCATCGTCTCTTGAAATCCAGAGCTTGTCACTCCATTTTAATACAAATCCCATCTCTCTCACATGTGGTCTCCATTTTCGAGCAAGTAGGACAAGCCAACAGAAAATAGTCAAGCCAAATCTTAACTCTTTTGTAAAATAGCAAGGACGAATCTCTGCCCACTCTGAAGCAAGCAAAGGATTTGGTCAAATTTTCTTCAAAAGATCCAAAACTCTTCTCCAAACAATAGCGAGGTTGCACTCTATGGGTAGGATTTACCTCTGGCTATCTCGATTTCTTTGTACTTTGTTGCCATTTTCATAATTTGAATTCTCAAACGGACATATTCAGAAGCTTTACCCGTCACACCCCTTTGAATAATTTTGAATTTCAAACTCAATCTCTAACCCTAGACTTTTCCCCTATAAATACTACTGTTATCTACAAGTGAGGGGGACTTTTTTCAGTGGCCACTATTTTTGAACTATAAGGTTCAGCCGCCTACACTAGTGACTAGACACACGAACCAGCCACCTCTTAAATATTACTTTGCCGCTCTCATCACTGTTATAGTTTCTTAAACACTCAAAAAATCTCTTCCAACACTTTTTCTTGTCTCTTTAGGTGAACTTTGACCGTGACTGAGATACTCGAACTCGTTCAGCTCGAAGTTCGGATCTGTTCATGACGAGAGAGTAGATTCGAGATCAACGTTCCAAGTTCACTCCCCAAAAATAGGTAATATCCGATCCTATTTCTAATTCTCCTATTTAGTCTAAAATATTCTCTTTACTTAGAAGAATCATTTCCTAGGCTTCTTTTTCTTTATTTGTGCTATAGTATGTGAGTAAAATATTGACGCCATGTGCATTCTGTTTAACATTTGATTTAATTGTAAAGCCACAGCATGCTTTAGCTTTAAAACCTTATTCTTGCCTTTAATAATCAGTATTGCCGGTATGTTTTCTTGACGTATCAAGCTAATGGCTTGGATTTCAACTATTAGAAACATAATCCTCCCAGGCTTAATAATTATTTTATTTACGTATGTACTGAAAAAAATAGAAAGTATCCTCTGTTAAATATTAATGTTCCTATATTCTTTTTTTTTTGTCACCTCAAAGGAAAATTTTACTTTAAGTTTATCCCAATGTTCAGATACCATTTTTAGAGAATCTTTATCGTCAAATGAGCTTTCTGATGAACCTGCATCATGTTAATATGTTATAGATTCATTTTCATTCTGTCATGTAAGGAAACATGTTTAAAAATTTACTACTATCATACTAGTCAAAACATGATTATTGTAAAATTATATCGAACTTTGGCTAGACTTGAACATTGAGCTAGAGCTTTCTAGATATATTGGTAGTATTATACTTTCAGAGGCATAACAAAGACATTCAAGGTTTACTTAAATCAACTTGTAAGAGTTTTGTTTACAGATCCATGTGTTTCATGTATTAGGAACTATACTTAGAATTTTTACTTTGAGTCACTTAAATACAGGCGCAAAAGATCCACGGACCGAACATTGTATTTTCTTTAGTTAGAAATCATGTTTATAGGATATTATTGTTATTATAAACCATGTTTACATTAGGTGCCTATCTCTTTGTCTGATACATATTATATGGATAACTATTCTTGAAATTTGAGGTGTCCTTCTTTTGGCTGCTCTCACTAATCGTGTGCATAGTTGATTACTTCAATCTGTTAAAGTACTTTATTGCTCATGTTTAGCTAAATTTTAGAAATAAATACTTTAAGAATGAATGTGATGTTGGAATATGAACAATCCATACTTTGTTAGACTCTTTTATACACTAAGCATGAGCATAATACCATGAATCCTTATCTTTTGTTCTTATACTTGTTAAGAGTTACATTCTCTTCTCTAACTCATTTTCTTTCTTCTTTTTACATTGCATGACACGTTGGAGCTGCAAGGAGTTCCAATGTGGGACTCGATGCTGCCGCTAGATCTCGAACGCGCACCTTCCTCTTCATCCTCCCTCATCTATTTCTTTTGCTCTCTCAAATTGCATCCGAACAGAAAAGTAAAAGAGAAGCGAGAGGAAGCAGAGGATATTCCCTTCCTTGCCATGATAATTAGTTGTGTTTTGTTTTCATCATGCTTTGTTTATCCTAACTCACCAATTTTTACTTTTAGTTCTACTTGTTTTATTATTTTTATGTATGACGATTTTGATTTAAGAGGTGCTTCAGGTATTTAAGTTTCTTGGGCAGCTTAGAGGTAATTTTAAAACTTCAAAACTGGGATAGTTATAAATAACGTTTTCAAGAGTTTTTTGACTTTGGAATGATTTTATACCTTAACCTAGCTTACCAAACGAAAACATTCTGTTCCAACCAGTTTAGTTAATAAACATATAATGCATCTTGGCAGTTCCCCTTAATACTTTAAAGATCTTGAAATACTTCCTTACGTAGAAACTTTTAGATACATAAAAATGTTCAAAATATTTTATGTCTCAATACATTACACTTAGCATTCTGGTCGGTTAACCATTTTAATATGGATCTTAAAGAGTGTCTTACACCTTCTCTTTAAGATTAATTGAACTCTTATCTAGAATCTTTAGGTTAAGAGACCATTAACAGAGTTATACTTTATTAAATTACCTTAATCAACATTAGGTGTCCTAATTTACGATAATTAATTAGGTGGGACTCTTTTACTTTAATTAAGCTTAGGATTACCTATATGTTGTATCTTACTTTAACCAGTTTAAAATGGGGTATAACAACCGCAAGTATAACAAGACTTCGGCTGCTGAGACTACTGACCCTGAAACTAACCCTAGCGGCCTGAGTAACCACCCTGAAAGCTCTGGAGTAGACGTGCACTAATAGGAGCTGGTGGTGCACTGTAGGCTAGCTGATTGGAATAATGCATATGAGGGCCACGGCTACCCGAGCATTGTGAGAAGCCTGTAGTGCTGAATGAAACGGCCTGGGAGGATGGCCTCTACCAAAAGTATCCCTGCCTCCAGACGAGGCACCACTGAATCCCACCCGAATGACGAGGTCTCTAGTCAGATCCCTGACCACTCCCCTGTACCATCTCAACCCGCCTGGGAACATTGGCTGCCGCCTGAAAAGAGATCTCACTCCCAATCTCCTTAGCCATCCGCAATCTGATGGGCTGAGCAAGTCCCTAAATAAACCTCCTCACTCTCTCCCTCTCTGTAGGAAGCAGAAGAATAGCATGACGGGCCAGATCCACAAATCGAGTCTCGTACTGAGTGACAGTCATAGAACCCTGTTGCAGACGCTCGAACTGCCTCCGATAGTCCTCTCTCTGAGTGATAGGAAGGAACATCTCAAGAAATAACTAAGAGAACTGGTCCCAAGTGAGAACAGGCGATCCATATGGTCTGGTCAACATGTAATCCCTCCACCATTTCTTGGCGGAACCCGACAAATGAAATACAGCAAAGTCGACCACATTGGTCTCCATTATCCCCATGTTCCGTAACACCTCATAATAATTGTCTAGATAGTCTTGGGGATCCTCTGAAGATGTACCGCCATAGTTAACTGGAAAAGCTTGGTAAACCTATCCAATCTCCACAAAGCCTCAGAAGACATAGCTGATCCATCACCAGTCTGTGTCGCAACACCCGGCTGAAATACCCCAACGGGCTGAGCTGCTGGAGTCCGAAACTGAGGAGCCATCTGCTCCGGAGTGTGGGTAGCGGGAGTCTGTGCTCCTCCCCCAGCCTGAAAGACGACTGGTGCTACAAGGAATGTGCCGGTCTATGCCACACTCTCCATGAGGCCCACTCGACGGACCAAAGCATCCCGAAGTACCGGTGGCGATGAACCCCTCTGGGACCTGAGCTGGTCCTGCTGGAACGGTTTGGGCTGGAGCCTCCTCATCAAACTCTACCTGAGGCTCCGCTGCTGGTGCTGCTGCTCGAGCTCTGGGCTGAGCCCTACCCCTGCCTCGGCCTCTGGCACGGCCTCGGCCTCGACCTCTGCCCCTCGTAGGAGCTGCCATTGGGGGCTCTAGCTAGTGCTCAGCGGAAGATGCAGTACGTGCTCTCGCCAGAATCCGGAGTCACAATTCACGAACATTCTAAGATTTTTACTACAAGTATTTGTCCGAAAGAAAGTACAACTGTTTGCGAAATAAAGAAAACAGTAAAGTATGAGGTATACCTTGAGTCTCCGATCAGATAAAGCCAGCAGCTAACTCGAGATCAACTCGGTCTAGCACCAAAATCTGCACAATGTGCAGTGTAGTAACAGTACAACCGACCCCATATACTGGTAAGTGCCGAGCCAAACATCGGAAAAGTAGTGACGAGGCTAGGACCAGACACATACATAAACTTGTGCAGTTAAACAATATATGGGCATAATAACAACTAATAGAAGCTGAACAGGTAACAACAGGAGGGGAAACATGCTGAGGGGAGTACAATGCAAAGAAAACCATAAAAATAAAGAAACAACAGCAGGCAAAATGCCTCACACCAATGAAAGTATTAAACACAGCAAAGACAAGTGCACGGCATAACCCTTCGTGTTTTTACATTCAACCTCACCATGATAGAAAACAAAAATGGCACGGCATCACCCGTCGTGCATTAACTCTCATCCTCACCATATAAACAGAAGAAACGGTACGGTATCACCCTTCGTGCTTTTACTCTCAACCTAACCATGTAAATCAAATAAGAATGGCATGGCATCACCCTTCGTGCATTAACTCTCACTCACAAGGCATCACCCTTCGTTCTTTAGCACTCTTCCTCGCTAAAATAATGAACAATATCAACAAAGAGATAGAAATATCAACAACAAGTCTTACTTCAATATTTGGTTCTACAATATCAACCTCGAACTTGAGTTAATACTCAATCAATACCAAAATTCGTAGATATGATGAGAACGTTCAACATAACAATAAACTAGTCTAAGCATGGATAATATGATCACGGAAAGCTAAAATTTATGAATAAGGCTCACTAGCATGTTATGACTCAAAAAACGCATAGGTGCTCGTCACCTCACCTATACGTGGTACTCACTATCCAAACACGTAGCAAATAGGCAAATAATACCTAATCCCTCAAGCCAAGGTTAACCACGACATTTACCTCGCTCCAACGGCCAAACTCAAAGCTCAATCATAGCTTTTCCCTTCACACAAGCCTCCGGACCAATAGAATCTAGCAAATTACAGACCAAACGATTCAGTTTAAGCCTTAGGAACTACCCACGACAGCAAGGAATTCAATTTAGGCCATTTTTGAAAAAGTCAACAATAGTCAACACCCGGGCCCGCTTGGTCCAAACTCGAAATTCGGGCCAAAACTCGATTACCCATTCACCCTAGCCCGGATATATAATTGGTTTTGGAATCCGACCTCAATTTGAGGTCTAAATTCCCAAATTTCGAAATCCCTAATTTCTACCAAAAAATCCCCAATTCCACCATGAAAATCTTAGTTTCTAGGTTGAAATCTTGTTAAAAAAGTGAAAGATTGAAAGAAACTAGTTAAGAATCACTTACTTATGATTTGGGGAAGAAAAAGTCTTTGGAAATCGCCTCTTGTGTTTTAGCTTTTGAAAATTTGGAGAATGAATGAAAAATCCCGTCTAAGTCCCTTTTTACACAGCTGCAGATGTCGTATTTGCGACCTGAGCTTCGCAATTGCGAAGCTCCCAAATGCGAGAAAAGTATCGCAAATGCGAACTTCCCGCACTTCTCCTAACTTGTTCGCATTTGCGAACATGAACTATCGCAATTGCGACAGAAACCTCACAAATGCGAGAAATCCCAGTCCCAGATAATGCTCGCAATTGCGAGGCTCGCATTTGCGAGACAGAACTCGCAATTGCAAAGTCTGCAGACCTGAAGCAGACCAGCAAGAATTCCTAAGTTCAAATCACTCTGTAGCCTACCCGAAACTCACCCGAGCCCTCGGGGCTCCAAACCAAACATGCACACAAGTCTTAAAACATCATACGAACTTGCTCGCGCGATCAAATTGCCAAAATAACATCTAGAACTACGAATTTAGCACCAAATCAAATGAAATTCTCAAGAACACTTTGAAATTTCTATTTTCTCAACCGGACGTCCGAATCACATCAAATCAATTCCGATTCTCACCAAATTTCACAGACAAGTCTTAAATATCATAATGAACTTGTATCGGGATCCGAAACCAAAATACGGACGCGATACCAACGAGATCAAACATTAATCAAATTCTTAAAACTATTTAATTTTCAGACTTTTAATTTTCATCAAAAATTCATTTCTCGAGCTAGGGACCTCGGAATTCGATTTCGGGCATACGCCAGGTCCCATATTTCGATACGCACCAACCGGGGATGTCAAAATACGAGTCCGGGTCCGTTTACTCAAAACATTCACCGAAGTCAACTAAATCAACTTTTAAAGGCAAAAATTATTATTTTCATCAACTTTCAACATAAAAGTTTTCCGGAAGCAAGCCCGAACTGCGCACGCAAATCGAGGAGGAATAAAATGAGGTTTTTAAGGCCTCAGAACATAGAATTTAGTTTTAAATCATAAGATGACCTTTTGGGTCATCACAGAAGGTTCCGGTGGTTTTAAATTTAAGGTGATTTTTAATGGAATATTAGAAATAGAGGTTTTTGTAGTAGACTTTTTTCTTAAAAATCCTTTCCCATGTTCAGGAAAATGATGGAGCGGTATCGATTTGATGGAGTTGTGGTTGTTTTTTAAAGGGTAAGATTGGAGAGGAGAGGTTTGGTGGACGGAAATGGGGGCCGGCCGCGAAAGAGCAAAAATCAAAAGAAGGGGAAAAAGGAGGGTAAGGGGGAAAGAAAGGTTGGGTAGGCGTAGGGGCAGGGGCTAGGGGTAGGGAGTATATTTTTTTTCCTTTTTCTTCTTTAGGAGCTTTTTGTCCTTTCCTTTTTTAATCTTTTCTTTTGTAATTGATCTTTTCTTTTCCCATTTTTTAGTTTTTTTTCAACCAAAATTCTATTCTAACACGCTATATTATCGTGATTGTCACGCACTTTGGCCACATCAACCCGTTGTTGCCACATAAGTGTAGTCAACGGTCAAACGTCTTTATTTGCCTTCAGTTCGTCAAGTTGAGGTGTCAAAATGGGAAAGATATAAGTTTGTCTACCGAGTTGGCAAACTGACACAAGTTTAAGTGGTCACGAGGCCATTTTACCTAAATTTTACACTAAATCAAATAAA